CCCTCACAGCGCTGGCGTTGGCCGTGGCGGTGCCCACCGCCCTGCTGCTCCTGCTTCTCGCCGCCTTTTCCCTCCTGATCGTCACCCGCCATCGGGCAGCTGTCAAGGCCAAAGCTCTCCGGTGAGTGCCTGTCTGCCTTGTGGGAGGGGAGGGCGGTCCTTGGCTGGGCTGGGGGCATCACTTTCCCAGCCCCCCGCCCCAACCTTTGCCCTTTGGACGTGTTTACATCGCATTGTGTCCAAGCCCTTTCCTTTCCCTTCCCTACAGCGAAGAGGGGCTTGGGCAGCGCAGCCCCATCTACAAGGGCAGCCTGGAGTCGGTGCCCTCCACCGCCGGGGACACCCAACCCCTCGTGATGTGAGCTCAGGTAGGAAGGGACCCACAAATGGCATGGCAGACTCCACGCTTCAATACTGCCCCAGTTCTGGGGGCTCTGCTGCAGCCGCCCTTTCCTCCTTGTCCCGCCTGAGGATAATGCTGGGCGCGTGTGACATGGGTGGGTGGGCTCCCTGAAGTGGCCCGAGGGTGGGGGTCCCTGACCCACAGTCCTTCTGACTGGGCGCATGTGGCGTGGGTAGGTGGGTGGGCTCCCTGAAGTGGCCCGAGGGTGGGGGTCCCTGACCCACAGTCCTTCTGACTGGGCGCATGTGGCGTGGGTAGGTGGGTGGGCTCCCTGAAGTGGCCCGAGGGTGGGGGTCCCTGACCCACAGTCCTTCTGACTGGGCGCATGTGGCGTGGGTAGGTGGGTGGGCTCCCTGAAGTGGCCCGAGGGTGGGGGTCCCTGACCCACAGTCCTTCTGACTGGGCGCATGTGGCGTGGGTAGGTGGGTGGGCTCCCTGAAGTGGCCCGAGGGTGGGGGTCCCTGACCCACAGTCCTTCTGACTGGGCGCATGTGGCGTGGGTAGGTGGGTGGGCTCCCTGAAGTGGCCCGAGGGTGGGGGTCCCTGACCCACAGTCCTTCTGACTGGGCGCATGTGGCGTGGGTAGGTGGGTGGGCTCCCTGAAGTGGCCCGAGGGTGGGGGTCCCTGACCCACAGTCCTTCTGACTGGGCGCATGTGGCGTGGGTAGGTGGGTGGGCTCCCTGAAGTGGCCCGAGGGTGGGGGTCCCTGACCCACAGTCCTTCTGACTGGGCGCATGTGGCGTGGGTAGGTGGGTGGGCTCCCTGAAGTGGCCCGAGGGTGGGGGTCCCTGACCCACAGTCCTTCTGACTGGGCGCATGTGGCGTGGGTAGGTGGGTGGGCTCCCTGAAGTGGCCCGAGGGTGGGGGTCCCTGACCCACAGTCCTTCTGACTGGGCGCATGTGGCGTGGGTAGGTGGGTGGGCTCCCTGAAGTGGCCCGAGGGTGGGGGTCCCTGACCCACAGTCCTTCTGACTGGGCGCATGTGGCGTGGGTAGGTGGGTGGGCTCCCTGAAGTGGCCCGAGGGTGGGGGTCCCTGACCCACAGTCCTTCTGACTGGGCGCATGTGGCGTGGGTAGGTGGGTGGGCTCCCTGAAGTGGCCCGAGGGTGGGGGTCCCTGACCCACAGTCCTTCTGACTGGGCGCATGTGGCGTGGGTAGGTGGGTGGGCTCCCTGAAGTGGCCCGAGGGTGGGGGTCCCTGACCCACAGTCCTTCTGGCTGGGCGCATGTGGCGTGGGTAGGTGGGTGGGCTCCCTGAAGTGGCCCGAGGGTGGGGGTCCCTGACCCACAGTCCTTCTGACTGGGCGCATGTGGCGTGGGTAGGTGGGTGGGCTCCCTGAAGTGGCCCGAGGGTGGGGGTCCCTGACCCACAGTCCTTCTGGCTGGGCGCATGTGGCGTGGGTAGGTGGGTGGGCTCCCTGAAGTGGCCCGAGGGTGGGGGTCCCTGACCCACAGTCCTTCTGACTGGGCGCATGTGGCGTGGGTAGGTGGGTGGGCTCCCTGAAGTGGCCCGAGGGTGGGGGTCCCTGACCCACAGTCCTTCTGGCTGGGCGCATGTGGGGTAGGTGGGTGGGCTCCCTGAAGTGGCCCGAGGGTGGGGGTCCCTGACCCACAGTCCTTCTGGCTGCGGCTGCCAGGAACCAAACGGCGTGGACACCCATCGCTTGGGGAGCCATCGCCCTCTAGACCAGTGTTTCTCAACCTTCCTAATGCCGCGACCCCTTAATACAGTTCCGCACATTGTGGTGACCCCCAACCATAACATTGCTTTCATTGCTACTTCATAACTGAAATTTGATACTGTTATGAATCGTAACATAAATACCTGATTTGCAGGGTGTATTCTCATTCACTGGACCAAGTTTGGCACAAATCTCGATACACCCAGATTGGGGTGGAGGGGATTGATTTTGCTGGGATTTATAGTTCACCTACAATCAAAGAGCATTCTGAACCCCACCAATGGAATCGGACCAAACTTGGCACACAGACCTCCCATGATCAAGAGAAAACACTGGAAGGGTTTGGTGGGCATTGACCTTGAGATTTGGAGTTGTAGTTCACCTACATCCAGAGAGCACCGTGGACCCAAACAATTATGGATCTGGACCAAACTTGGCATGAATACTCAATACGCCTCAATGTAAACAATGGTGGAGTTTGGAAACAAAAGACCTTGACATTTAGGAGTTATAGTTGCTGGGATGTATAGTTCACCTACAATCCAAGAGCATTCTGAACCCCACCAAGGATGGAATTGGACTGAACTTGGCACACAGAACTCCCATGAGCAAGACAAAATACTGGAAGGGTTTGGTGGGCATTGACCTTTAGTTTGGAAGTTGTAGTTCACCTACATCCAGAGAGCACCGTGGACCCAAACAATTATGGATCTGGACCAACTTGGCATGAATACTCAATATGTCCAAATGTGAACAAATGTGGGAGTTTGGGAAAAATAGATCTTGACATTTGGGAGTTGTAGTTGCTGGGATTTATAGTTCACCTACAATCAAAGAGCATTCTGAACCCCACCAATGATGGAATTGGGCCAAACTTAGCACACAGGGCTCCCATGACCAACAGAAAAACTGGAAGGGTTTGGTGGACATTGACCTTGAGTTTTGGAGTTATAGTTCACCTACATCCAGAGAGCATTGTGGACCCAGACAGTTATGGATCTGGACCAATCTCTGCACCAATACTCAATATGCCCAAATGTGAACACTGGTGGAGTCGGGGGAAATAGACCTTGACATTTGGGTGTTGTAGTTGCTGGTATGTATAGTTCATTTACATTCGAAGAGCATTCTGAACCTCATCAATGATAGAATTGGGCCAAATTTCCCATACAGAACCCCCATGACCAAGAGAAAACACTGGAAGGGTTTGGTGGGCATTGACCTTGAGATTTGGAGTTGTAGTTCACCTACATCCAGAGAGCACCGTGGACCCAAACAATTATGGATCTGGACCAAACTTGGCATGAATACTCAATACGCCTCAATGTAAACAATGGTGGAGTTTGGAAACAAAAGACCTTGACATTTAAGAGTTATAGTTGCTGGGATGTATAGTTCACCTACAATCCAAGAGCATTCTGAACCTCACCAATGATGGAATTGAACCAAACTTGGCACACAGAACTCCCATGACCAACAGAAAATACTGGAAGGGTTTGGTGGGCATTGACCTTGAGTTTGGAGTTGTAGTTCACCTACATCCAGAGAGCACCGTGGACTCAAACAATGATGGATCTGAACCAAACTTGGCACTACTCAATATGCTCAAATGTGAACACTGGTGAGTTTGGAAAGATAGACCTTGACATTTGAGAATTGTAGTTGTTGGGATGTATAATTCACCTACAATCACAGCGAATTCTCACCACCAACAATGGGATTGAATCAAACTTGGCACACAGTTCTCCCATGACCAACAGAAAATTCTGGAAGGATTTGGTTGGCAGTGTCCTTTGGTTATGGAGTTGTATTTCACCTACATCCAGAGATCACTATGCACTCAAACAATTATGGATTTGGACCAAACTACATGAATACTCAATATGCCCAAATGTGAACACGGTGGAGTTTGGGGAAATAGACCTTGACATTTGGGAGTTGTAGTTGCTGGGATTTATAGTTCACCTACAATCAAAGAGCATTCTGAAACCCACCAATGATAGAATTGGGCCAAACTTCCCACACAGAACCCCCATGACCAACAGAAAAGACTGTATTTTCTGGTGGTCTTTGGGGAGCCCACCCACCCACGCCACATGGGCCCAGCCGGAAGGGCCCATGTGGCCACTTGAGGGCCACTTGAGGGAACCCACCCACGCCACATGCGCCCCCCTTGTGACCCCCCCCCAAGGGTCCTGACCCCCAGGTTGAGAAACACCGCTCTAGACCCAGCGAGCAGGGCCCAAAGAGGGGCTCCCCAATGGCTCTTTTTGAGGGGGGGGTTATGCCTCACAGGGACTCTCGCACCCACCTGCCTTCTTCTCCCTCCCCACAGGAGGAAAGAGACCCTCCACCTGCCTTCCGGGCTTCTTTCGAGATTCAGCCTCTTCTTCTGTCTTGGGATGATGGGATCTCACCGACGCAGAATCTCTTTGGGGTGTTAATTGCCTTTGATTTTGAGAATGGGGGAGTTTGGCTTGCGGAAGGGAGACCTTTCCTCTTGGCTGGCCTGACCAGGAGGCAGCCCAAGGGGCAACAAGAGGGCCAGGAGCCACCCAGTGCGGGCAGGCAGGAGCTTCACAGGAAAGAGGGTCCGTGCAGTGGCCTCCCCTTTGCAAGGAAAGAGTTGAGCGGCACATCAAGGAAGAGCGAGCGAGCGAGCGAGCTGGGATCACAACCGTCCCTGCCTCTTCCCCTCCAGCACTTTTTTGGATCAAAATAAAAAATAGCGGGATGTTGCATCTGG